GTAAATGAAACCACTCCAGTTCCTGGGAATCATCAATGCTTTGGGAAATGCTCTTAGGTTTTGCTACTGGTGGTTTCCCATCGCTTGTCCGGTGTACAGAGATGTGGATTTCTAGCTCTAATCATGACAGCATTTGTTCCTTGTATTTTGGCCAAAAAACCTCTTGTAAAGTATTTATAGCAGAAAGAAAATAGGCGAATTGTTGCTAATTAATGCGTTCCTGCTTGCATTCATGGTTGTGCACCAAGCCATTTAGATTTTGGCCGCTGTCTGGCAAGTTTATTCTGGGACACAGTCGCCACCCTGGAAGTCAAGCTTGTCTTTTGGAAAACCCCATCTTTCATTTGTGTCTTTGCCTCTTCTTTTGGCAGAAAATGTGACAATTACAAAAGCAAGAAGCATAAATCCCTACATTGTCCTCTGAAGGGTAAAGGAGGCCTGGGCTAATATACAGTACTTGCCTCTTGTGTTCTTTGCCTTTGAATATTTCTCAGCCAATGCATCTGAGAGAGAGAGAGAGACTGCCTGAAGGGGATTAAGGAAATCAACTGTCATTCGCTCATGGTATTTTACATAATGGCATGAAGTTTAACTGGTAAGAGAAACAAGAGGCAGTAATGAGACCTTAGCAGAAGTAATAATTTTCCAGATTTGTATGCTGTAGGAAATTATGCACAATTAAAGGAGAGAAAGGGGGAACTTGAATGAAGAATGTGGAGGTAGCAGGTTTAACAGAGATCAGAAAAAAGTTGCCAGAGAAGCTGCCAGTTACAGAGAATGAGAAACGAACATGTCCATAATCAAGTGTACAGTATTTTCCTCATAAATTCTCTGCATTGCTCATACCGTTGAAGTATGCCTTTTGTGTCCTATGGCTTCATCTACCATTGGCTCAAGCTTTTTTATTTTTCCCAAACAGGCCATCAAGCTGATTGCTACTCATCTCAAGCCGTTCCAGGTTTTTCCAGATAGAGACTTGTCAGAAGGTTCAAAGGGTGTCTTAGGCGGTTCACCAACATGAGCAGGAACGAGAGGAGTCGGAGGTTCCAAAACAGAACAATTTTTATTGCAATAAAGTTGTATCAACTATAACCTCTGTAGGTACTAAAGTGTCCCAATCATATAATTGTCTCTCAACTTGTCCATATGGATTAACTATATAGTCGTGCTTCAAAACTGGGGAGCCGGCCCAAAATGCTCCTTGTCTGTGGGCTTCCGTAGAGGGGTACTTCTCACTGCGCATAGGGTCCCACAGCAAGGGTGGCGAGCCCAATCCCCCTCAGCCTGAGGCTTGTTGAAGGTTGTATCGGGGCGTACCGCCTTCCTCCAAGGACCGTGTCCCCATGGGAACGCCACCACTGATCATTATGTAGTCTCTTGAATAGTGATGCCTCTGTGTTTTGGCGCGGGGTCTAGCAGCAGTCCACCGACCTTAAGATTTGGTCATTCTTCCAGCAAGGTCTTTACTTCTTTTGCCTTGGTCTCCTCCTTTGAGTCTCTCTTCACGTCCGTTACAGCTTGAAAATCCCGCGCACCCATACCCTCATTTATATCTTCCTCCCACACATCAACCCATTGCTCCTCCCCTCTGCTCTTTCCCTCCTCCGTCAGGCAAACTTCCGTCTTAACCCTTTCTTGATTGTTATCCTGCCCTAATTCGTCTCTCTTTCCTCCCTCCTCTTTGATGTTCCTTTCAACGTGAGGAGACGGCGCACTAGCTGCCTCTTGACCTTCACAAGAGTACTCAGAAGTGTTTTACGATTCCCTTCTTTTGGGGCACCCTGGCAGTGTGAAGCTTGCCCAAAATGACACAGGCTGACTCTTCTACTCTAAGGCACAGAAGGAAATTTAATATGTGACCTCTTTCTCCACAGCCAGGTAACCTATTCACTGAACGATCCAGCCAGCTGTCTTGACCTAGACATGTGAAAATGTTTCCTCTTTTTTGAAAAACAACAGCTTCCAAAAACGCACAGTCAACAAAGCTGTTGCCTATCCATGGCTCAAACTGTCATGATGCCTAGCTCTGAATTCACTGAAAGATCACAGAATGTGTGAGCATGTGATCAATTGCTCCATTCTCCGCTCCACAAGCCCACTGAGCACCAAACACTACTATGTGAGATCAAAAATGAGAAGTCTCTTTTCTGCACCATGACCATGGTGCTAAGGGATTCTGAAAATCTTCCTAGCTACGTATAAAATGTACAGTAACTATGACAAGAATAGCTTGACAGAATAAAAACTGCTGCCCCCATCTACTGATCTCAAGATTTCTACCAGGAAATGAACTTGCACTGGAAATAGTTTAGCTAGCAGGAGTGACATCATGATCATGAGGGGGATACCCCAGGGTAAAGCTTGTCCATAAGCCCCATTTTGCTGACCCGTGTGATTTCTTCAAATGCTGGAAACCTCAGTGCAGAACTTATCCTGGAAAATGCTATAGCTATAAACAACCTCCCAGTGTCTGATGAATAAATTAAGATTTAACCAAACCAAACAAACAAACCAAAGACCTAAACATTTAAGCAGGAGACAAAACAGCATGCTAACTCAAAGATTTTGTCATTGGTCATACTGAATTAAGCCTTACGTCATATGGTGGAAAGATGACTGATGGTGAAAGATGACTGATAATTCAAAAATATGACTCTTATCTGCAAGGCCAGATTGATAATGTAGTTCTAGGACTTGGTTGGTTGGTTATTTATTTAAACATTTTAAAACTGGATTGCCTTCATACAGATGGTAAGACTATATGCAAATATAATACCTATACACACATATATGTACATACCATGGAATTGCCAAATGATGAATGGCAATTGTGAAAACTGGCCACTGACCTCACCTGTTTTCAACTGATACCAATGAAACTAGGAGCAACCTATCCCCCCGGACTCCACACCTGCCCCATCTAAGTGCAATTTTGTCTCAAACTGACCTGTTTACTGGAATTAGAAACCTCTTCCTCACAGTATGTCCATGTGATCCATTTTCATTTGTGAACTGTCAAGGTTAACAGATCAACGGATAATTTACTGTAATAAGGCTAAGGTAGGGAAGGGAAGAGGGTGGGGGTAGGCTGTGGGATTGGGAGCTGTGTGGGGTGGTGGCTGCCTTTCTGCCACCGATCAGCTGATTGGCAGCCGGTAGGCAGGATGGTGCTTTTTTTATTTTTGTTTTTAATATGAAGTACGAATAAAAACAGGTAAATATTCATCCTTTCATATTCATGGAGGTCTCTGGAACCCACAAATAGAGGTTGACAGATATTTAACAAATTGGCTATATTTGTCGGGAAAACCAATTTGTTAAATATCCATCGATCTCTATTTGTATATTCGTCCCCATCTCTAGTTTTCAGTTCTATGCCACATTTCCAATGAAGGGGCCCAAGGTGGCTCATTAAAAAATAATCTAACTAAACCAATAGCACAGAAGATTAAAAGCTGCCCAATTACTTGTTAAAATCTTGTCTAAAACATTTGGTTTTCCTGTTTCCCCAGATGAAGAGTGAGGTGGCTAACGTAGCCTCCCAGAGGAGGGTGTTCCATAATCTGGAAGCAGCCACAGAGGAAAGCTATCTTTTGTGTTCCCATCAGACATGCCTGTGAAAATGGTGGGATTGAGAGAAGGGTCTTCATACAGGAAGCTATGGCCCTTCAAATATCCTGGGCCAAACCATGGATCATGCGTCTATGGTCAAAGCTCAGATGATGGGCCGACATCCAGTCTACCACTGTATCAGAGACTGTCTATGTGGCTTGCATAGCGTTATCTCAGCCAGATGTAGTAAAGAAATAGGACTGGGTTTCATCAGCATACTGAGGCCATTCTTCTCCCGGCTTTTTAGATTTTAATTAGCTATGGGGAAAGAACAGGACCCTACTGGATCCCATAACACATATGTCAGTTGCCTTCTTCCTACAACTATCATGATCTGGAGTTGGTCTTGCCCGTGGAGTCTGCAACAGGGTGCTTTTTTGGGGTGGAGGGGAATTAATTTTGTTGCTGTTTCAACCATTCAGAATCCAAATGTTCTGCCAGTCTCAGTGTCCAGCCACCCTGTGAATTTTTGTTTCTCCCACCACAGTCAGCCATAAACCAGAAAGGTTCCTATAAGAATGACATATTTAAGAAAAAGGATGAAGCACATTATCACATTATATAATTTCTATGGGTTTACTTATAAGCAACAACTTGGAAAAATACTTCAGGAAATCTTGAATATCTGCCACTACATTAACTGTTTCCCTATAGAAGAAAAAGGTGTCTGCCTGCTATAACCTTATAAAATTAGGAAATCAGGAATACCTCCCAAGTGCCTTGGGCATGTGACATCACTCCATATTTTGCCTTGCAGAGCCAAACATGAACCAAAGGGTTCATGAGGCCTGGGACAGGTATGATGTCGGGGAACATGCAGCCTCTAAATGATCCACCAATGTGTATACAAAACTCGGAGCCACAAATGAGACTTGTGATATCTATGATAGTTCTGCTGGTTTACATATATAATGCTAAATATCCAATAGGATTCTGCTCCATATTTTTTTAAAAAATTAAATAAATACAGGTACATAAAAAAGGACCCAAATCCTTACAAATGCATAAAGCATTGAAAAGTGCATTAAAATAGTTTAGATTGGCATCACAGATAGGTTCTCTAGTTCACCCAAAATCAACCTTAACTTATTAACACTGTCTACTACAGTACAGTTCGTTTTGGGTGAATCGGTTACCAAAATCCTCCAAGTACAGTAATTCTTCTGAGCTCCAGCATACAGGGGCCACTCAGAGCCCCGCACATGGGGGAATTCACAGGGCTTTCGAACCCAACCAGGAAATGAACAAAACACCGCAAATGACCGTAACCCTTTGGACAAAGAACGGGTGCCCCTTCCTTCTTTTTTGCTCCCTGTGCTCGGAACAGTGTCGGGGTCCTTCCTACCTAGAAACCCGCGGGGGGGGGGGAAGAGAGAGAGGCTGTCTACATTACTGCCTGTTCTGGCGCTGGCCACCTACAACTGAACCTTTTAATTTCCGTTTATGGCCGTATGTCCTGGGCGTTGCAAAACGGAGCGGGTGGCCTTAGTGACCTGGAAATCGAGGGAAGGGAAGGGAAAGGGAGGGGGAAAGAAAGCGCTCACAGTACGGTGGCCACGAGGGAACAAGAAGAAAATGGCGGCCGCCTTAGCATCGGCGGCCCAAAGAGTCTGCAGCCCCTGGATCTGGAGAACCGCGTGGAGAGGTGAAGTCTCTTTCCTATTTCTTGCTTCTGAGGCGAGATCGGGGAGCTTTTCGCGGACCGACAGCACGAAGGCGCTTGCCTGACCCTTCTTTCCCCGGGGGTTGCTCGTTGTTTCCCCCGCTCACTGGCTTCTCCTTCGTCCGAGTGCTTGCTTGCAAACCCATCACGCCTCCCTGCCCACCAGCGCCCCGATCTTGGAGTGCTGAGAGTATCAGGGTTGCTTGGAGGCTGGAAAAGGTACAGAGAAGGACGACCCGGGTGGTCAAGCAGCCGCCGGAACGCCTTGATCAGGGAAGGCTATTTTTCCTGGAGGCACTGGAGGTTGTGGTCTGTGTGGGGGAAGGGGGAGAGAGGATAGATAGGCGTAGTAGACGTTTCTGTGGTGTGGGGGACAATTTCTTCTTCTTCTTCTTCTCCTCCTCCTTGTGTGTGGGGGGGAGAGGATAGATAGGCGTAGTAGACGATTCTGTGGTGTGGGGGACAATTTTTCTTCTTCTCCTCCTCACGTAATGCAAAGACCTGGAGTGATTTCCTGAATCAGAGTGGTGGGAGATAAAGGAGAAAGGACATGTACAGTATTTAAAATGTGGGTATCGCTAGTCAGGAAAGGAGGGATGGCTAGCCAGGTTTGGATGCCTTCAAAAAGGGCTTGGACCTGGGACATGATCACGTTGGTAGATGTATATATGTGTATGTATTTTAGTCCTTATCACTTTGTGGGTAGCACAGATAGGAGGGGTTTTTGTTATGCTCTCTCCTGTCCTCCCTGTGGGCTTCCCCAAGGCTACTGGTTGGCCCTCCCCCAGTGTAAACAAGGATCCTGGGTTAGATAGGCTTTTGGTCTGCTTCCTCTTGATTCTCCTGATATATCATGTTAAGTATATCGCTTAACATGATATACATTACAAGAAATAGGACTTTGCTTGAACTCAGTTGTGGAACTCCTAAGGGAAGTTAAACTGGCTTCATCTGTACTAAGTGTCCAAGAGGCGGCTGAAACTGTATTGTTCTGAGATGCCTTTGGTCTCCAGGATTTTGATTGTGTGAGTTTTAAGCTGTTTTTAGAAAATGCTTGGATCTGTTTTGAATCATTTTCATCTGCTCTGCAGAAAAGCAATAAACAAGTGCTTGAAATAAAACAGATAAGTCAGACCTGAGATACTTAGTGTGGTGGTGTGGTAATTTGACCTACTTCTTGAAGGTTTGTTGTTTAGTCATGAAGTCCTGTCCGACTCTTTATGACCCCATGGACCAGAGCACGCCAGGCCCTCCTGTCTTCCATTGCCTCCCAGAGTTGGGTCAAATTCACGTTGGTAGCTTTGGTGACACCGTCCAACCATCTCATCCTCTGTCGTCCCCTTCTCTTGCCTTCCACTTCCCCAACATCAGGGTCCTTTCCAGGGAGTCTTCTCTTCTCATCAGATGGCCAAAGTATTGAAGCCTCAGCTTCAGGATCTGTCCTTCCAGTGAGCACTCAGGGTTGATTTCCTTTAGAATGGATAAGTTTGTTCTCCTTGCACTCCAGGGGACTCTCAAGCGTCTCCTCCAGCACCACAACTCAAAAGCTTCCTGGGAGGCCTGACTTTGTGGGAAGTGTAGTTCTTTGGGTTTAGAGCATAATAGTCAGCAAGACTACACCTCCCAAGAAACGCTGGGGAGGTTTCCTTTTTTTACAGGAAGTAGGCCCTAGACAGTCTGGAGGATAGAGCCCCTTCCAAATGTGTAGGTGTGTTTCTGTGGGCTGAAACACCCACAATTCTATCCGGGGTTTTCTTGGAGAATTCTGGGAGATGCTGTTGGGAGGGCAGGGAAGAAGCAAAGGGCCCATCTCTGTTGACCAGTTAGGTTTTAGCTTAAAGAGGTTTGCTCAGGTAGGGCTAACCTCTGTATTTTATTCAGGATGATATAAAGGTTGAGAAGCGGATAAGAGAGCTGTTCATAAGAAAGTTGGTGAGCAGTTAGCAGTCTACTTCCTACTGCTATGCTGAATAAGTTGCCTGTTATGAATTAAGTATTGCCTGTGAAATACAGCACCAAGCTTCGTCTCCCGTTGGGAGTATTGAAAATAAGCTTCAGTTTCACTTGTTGAACCTGCTTCAGATTACGTTTATATCCAGGACAGGATGTAGGTGGATTACAGAAACCTATTAATATTAAATGTGGAAAATTGTAACACAAGTTTTATAATGTCAACAGTATAAAATACAATTCTTTTCCATTTGAAGTAGAAAGAGTAAAGGTAAAGGTAAAGGTTCCCCTTGACAATTTTTGTCCAGTCGTGTTCGACTCTAGGGGGCGGTGCTCATCCCCATTTCCAAGCCATAGAGCCAGCGTTTTGTCCGAAGACAATCTTCCGTGGTCACATGGCCAGTGCAACTTACACACGGAACGCTGTTACCTTCCCACCGAGGTGGTCCCTATTTATCTACTTGCATTTGCATACTTTTGAACCACTAGGTTGGCGGGAGTTGGGACAAGCAACGGGCGCTCACTCCGTCATGTGGATTCGATCTTACGACTGCTTGGTCTTCTGACCCTGCAGCACAGGCTTCTGCGGTTTAGCCCGCAGCGCCACCACGTCCCTAGAAAGAGTATACTGTATAAACTTTTCATCCCTGCTGGCATCAGTCTCTTGGCTTCAATGGGGGAGCGTCATACTTAAGTAAAGGTTCCCCCTGACATTTAGTCCAGTTGTGTCCGACTCTAGGGGGCGGTGCTCATCCCCATTTCCAATCCGTAGAGCCAGCGTTTGTCCATAGACAGTTTCCATGTCAAGTGGCCAGTGCGACTAGACACAGAATGCCGTTACCTTCCCACCATGGTGGTACCTATTTATCTATTTGCATTTTCACATGCTTTTGAATTGTTAGATTGGCAAGAGCTGAGGCAAGCGATGGGAGCTCACTCTGTTGCATGGATTCTATCTAAGGCGAACAGATTGCAGTTTAGTTTGAAATGAGCCTCATGGTGTGGTTAAGCTGCAATATTGCAGTGAAGATTCTGCTTATAACCTGAGTTCATTCCTGTGCTCAGGTATCCAGTTCAAGGCTGACTCAATCTTTCATCCTTCTGAGGTCAGTAAAATGAATGCTCACCTCACTGAGGGGGACGATGTGTAGCCTGCATAATTAAATTGTAAATAGCCCAGAGAGTGTTTTAAGCACTATGGGGCAGTATATAAGCAGCATACTTTGCTTTTAATTTAGATTTTAATCTAAAACTGAAAGCAGCAGCTGGAAGCCCAGTTCAATAAAATACTTCCTTCTGAATGAACATAGGTAGGATTTATGTGCAGTAGACTGAGATCTGAATGAGGAAAACGGATCCCTAGTGAGTCAAAAGACCTATCTAGCTTTGTGTTAATTGCACTGACGAGCAGCAGTTTTCCAGAGTTTGAGGCTTGAATCTTTATCAGACCTGCTGGAGGCATTAGAATTGAAACCGGCAGCCTTTTATGCAAAATGCACACTACTCAGCCCCTCCCATTCAGGTCTTTGTTTAGAATTTACACAATGGGTCTGGGGAACATGGAAACTTCAGCAACAATTGCCATCATCTACCTCTGAAGAGCCATATGTGCCCTCGCCCTTCATTTAAGGGTGAACCATTATTTGTTTAAATAAATCGTACGTTGAATCCTATGTATT